TAAGTAAAATTGAATTTATTCGTTATCCTTATTTTTGGAAATTGATAAACAATTGTAAGGAAGGTGATGGGTGCGGATTGGTTTTTTGCCAGAAGTGCAATCCCGAGTTTAAAAAAATGTTTAGTGAGCAACAAAAAAAGCAAATTTATGAGATTCTAACTAACTTGCCCGCTAAAGAAGAAATTATTTACTATCCTCGAGTCAGCAGTGACTATGTTTTAAAAAAATTTTATGAAGAATTTAAAGGTAGGGAAAATGAGCACCACACAATTCTTCATTGAGATTGAGTCATTATTTTAAATAATCCCCAAGCAAAGCATAAATTCACAAACTTTTTAATTAGATAGTAATAAAATTAAACAATATGAAAAAGAAGAAATTATTACCAGTTCACCCTGGCGAGATTTTGCGAGAAGAGTTATTGATTCCTTTACAAATAACTCCGGAAGAACTAGCTAAGGAAATTGAATTTCCGTTGGAAAAAATTCAAGAAATATGTAAGGAGAGAGAAAATATCACTCCGGATTTAGCTGCTCGTTTAGCTATCTTTTTTGACAGCACGGCCCAATTTTGGATGAATATGCAAAGGTCCTATGAGGAAAAACTTTTAGCTGATAAGCTTGCGGAGTTGCGAAGTCATATTGTTCCTCATCAACGCTGATGGAACGGATTAATTTAAAAAGATTCAAAAATAAGGAATTAGAGAGTTTGGCTAACGAGTTAGAACTTCCTCCTAAATCTAATTGGAAAAATATCGAAAAGGTTTTGCGACGAAAGTTAAAAATTTTGCTTGATGCTGAGAAATGGCAAGACTTACAAATTTTTCCTAATAACAAACCAGAAAAATTACGAGGTACAGAAGAACTTTGTAGCATGAGGATTAATGATCAGTATCGTCTTATTTTTCGTTGAGATGATAATCAAGCCTGAGATATTGATATCAACAAGCATGATAAGAATTACGGTAAATAACTACCAAATAATTTGTAAAAAAGTTTTTTCTTTTAACCACTTTTTTCGGACAAACAAGCTTCCAAATTGAAGATTTTTGGGAAAATTTTTTGTAAAAATCGCTACCCTAATTTCTGGATATGAATTCATAAGCGAATTTGCTAGCGATTTCATCTAATTTTTTCTGCTTCAAAATTGCTAAAATAAAAGGTTTATAATATAAAATAAGCATAAAAAAATATGATTTTAACTCCCATTAAAAAACTAGTTAGTTGGATTGTTTATTCTGGCTTAGAGCAAGAAGTTACTTTAGATAACCAATGAGTAGTATGACGCAAACAGGTCTTTTCTTCTGGTTAGACCTTAAAGAAACCTTGAGCCGTTATGGCTCTTCGAATAATTACAAAAAGCGAGCGGGAGAACGAGTGAAAACTAACGAAACGCTCAACTCTTAAAATTTTTCGCTCTTATGTATTTTTTTAACCCTTTCCGTATAACATGTCCGCCACGCCCATTAAATTTTCCGGTACCTTCTTGAATACCGAATTATTAAGAGAATTCGCGTGTTCGTCTTGTCAACAACCCTTGACAGAGGAAGATGTTAGTGAGCGGAATTATTCTTTGTGCATAAGTAGTTATCAGAATCAAATCGTCAAAGAAGAATACGGAAGTCAAACTTTTTTCGGGTTGAAATTTTGGTTGCGAACCGTGCAGCACAAATATTGTCAACTTCGCAAGCCGCAGCCAAGTTTCGATCTCCAAGTAACGCTTAGCCATTAGTAACTAATTGTCAGAAGCACCATTTATTAAATATGAAAACTAACCCTGAAATTACCAAAATAACTCTACGAAAAAAATTAAGAGCAGAATTAATTACCTTAATTACAGAGAGCGAAGATTGTTTAGTTCAAATTAAGCAGTATGTTGCAGAACTAAGAAAGATTTGCCAGCAAAGAGCAGATTCCTGAACTCCAGAAAACCTGGTGGATATTGAAAGCCTTTTCCAAACTTTAAAAAACCTATTGGTTTTTGGTGAGGTTGAAGAAACTATACCCGCTTTACTAGAAAGTTTAGAAAATTATGAAGAAAATTATTCTTAATCTTAACAAACTAGACATTAACGGAAAGCCGTGGTCGGAAGACCTCCAAGAAATTCCCAACTCTGAGAAATATAGGTTCTGAGAATGAACTTATAATCAGTTTCGGGGCGTAAATTTCTTTTGTGATCGTTGTGGACTGCGAGTTACCAACGGAATTGGTTACGGAGATTATGAAACAATAGAAGCCTATCTAGCCAACCTCGATCAAGATGGTTACGGACACTTGTATTGTGAGGCTGACTCTTGAGCCAAAGGTTACTCTCACGCTTATCTAACTTCGGAAGAATACCTTAGCATGGCTTATGATTATCACCAGCATCATCTCAAAAGGCCAGCCTATAAAAAGGTTTGTGTTGATTTGGGAATCTCGTGCGGAACTTGTGAAACCTGAAACAAATGGCTAGAATTTAGGAAAAAGCCATTGACTAACGAAAAAGAATCCTTTAATCGTTGGTACTGAAATCAAGAAGACAATTATGAAAAAAAGTTAAAAATTTAGAATTAGATCTGTGAATTATCTTGGGGAAAATTAGTCGTTTGG